TATGCATATTTCTGATAAAAAGAGAATTGTTCCTGATGATTTTTGTTGCTATTACCAAATTCTGAGAGCTTTAAGGCTGCTGTAATCCTATTTTGTATGCTCCTTATGGGATTCTGTTTCTAAGCATTCATAAGAAACTCTTTCAAGAGAGACTTCAATTGTCATCATAAGCTTTTGTTTAGCTTGCACAGCTATGACTGGTGATGGCAATGAGGTTGTTCAGAGAAAGTAAAAGAAGGAAACACCTGTAAACTGAACCTATTAAAATAAATAAATCATTTTGTGTCTTCATAATTTGTTTCTGTTAGTGAGGCAACCCAGAGATGTGAGCTTTCTGGAACCTGATGCATATATGCATCTGTCTTTTAAATCCTTTATTTTTTTCTCTATGCTTTTTAAAGGTACGTTTTAAAAGGGCATAAAATAGATCTATGACCTAAAGAGTAGAGTTCAGTTTGATACCTTAAACATAGGGGGCTTATCTCTCACTTGTTAGTGAAGAGCCATTGGCAAAGTGAGTGGAACATGGGATGTGATTCATCTGAGCAGCCATGGGATGTGGGTTGCACTAGGGTGGGTTGCATTGCTCTTTGTGCTCTATTCAGTATAAATTTCTTCTCCCAGATGGATCCCACCCAGTGGGAAGTAGTAAGGTCTTCTAGGTCTGCTTTCTATTTTCCAATGACCAATACAATAAACCATTATACATGATATTTTCACCTGTTCAGCAGATCCTGTCCATGTGGAATCCCTTTCCAACAGTCTTGCCTGTGGCACTGAGGAACATGGGTCCTACTGTGCTCTGGGCTCATTGATAGCATGGCCTGCAAGTCTGACCTTTGTGCTGCTTTTGCAGACAGTAAGTGAAGAAACATGTGCATCATTATGATGCCAATGAAATCCCTATCCTTGCTTCCGTGACTGGGTTTTCAAATCACTGTTGTGCTCTGAATGCTTGTTTTTGAATGGCAGGCTGCCTATTTTCCAGCCTTCCACTTTACATTTAAGACAGAAAGTAAACGTGACAACAAGTGCAGTGAAGGGTTCCTGGCAGTGCACCTGTGTTCATTGAAGCAAGCAGTGATTTTGAAGCTCTGGACTTTGGCTTGGGATGGGTCACATGGATAGCATGGTCAGGCAGCTGGAGATCTGCTTGGCTCCAGGGAAAAAGGGGGATTGGGGCTTTATCTCAGAGAGTTACCTATCTAGTCATCTGTGGTGCCAGGCTCTGATGCAGGCAGGGAGCCTGAATTGCTTTACTTGCATAAATCACTATTGTTAAAAGCTCGTATTTCAGCAGCACAAACATTGCTATTAGTTCTCAACTGGCTTTGTAGCGAAGTGTGTATGTGAACTCCTCCATAAAATACAGTGGTCTTTTTCCAAGGCCCAGGTTTCTTTTTTCAGGTTAACATCGGCTATGGCTATCCCAGGACCATAGGCAAATTGGTTTTTCCCCTGCTTTTCCTAGAAGAGAGATTGAGGGCATGTCTGGTATTTCCTCAAACTATGGGCTAGTGCTCTGACTTCCTGTCTACCTGGTGGTACCACATGTCTCAGGACTGCTGCTTCTCATCTTCTGCTAATGCCCAGCTCCCTATTAATTACCATTCTATGGGATGTGTATGATGATTCTTTTTCCTTAAAGTGCTTCTCACTTCCGAAAGGATGGCTCATCCATTTTAACTGTTGGGGCTGCTACTCTATGTAAACGTATTTTTCTCTTGACAACCACAATGAAAATCTTTTAAAATAAAATAAAAAAACAATCTCTCAACAATTTCTTTATTATTAACAGCTTGGTGGCCCTGTGAGATGCTGGGGACCCAGGAGTCCCAGAAGGAACAATGGCACGGATGGCATTCCTTGTTTCTTCCCGTAGCATAGCTGGAAGAGCACTCACACGGTTTGAAGGAGATGTGCATTCCCTGTCCTGCACTGGGAGGATTTCAGCCTGCATCCCAGGAGAGGGCACTAGTCCCTGCAGGGATGAGGAAGCATCTCAGACTCCTACTGGCAGTCTTGTGCTCAGTATAAAGAATGAGGCGTTCGATACAGCAGGAAGTGAAGCTAGTTCTTCTCATCACAGGATGAGACTTGCAGAAGAAGGATTTTGGCTAGGATTTGAAGATGGAATTCTGGTGTCTTGGGGTAGCTTTAGTGCCAAGCTATAAAACAATCACAAATGGATCAAAGTAGAAGAAAGGTGATAGGCCACTTGTCTAGACATGCCCAACTCCCCCACTGTCTGCTTGCTTCTGATTTAAAATAATGAAACCAAAACCTCCCAAAACCCCTAATTCCCACAAAACCCAACCAACGAGCCCCCCACCTAAAAGAGAAATAACTCCACTCCACACTACACATCCCTTCCCCAAAAAAGGTGTATTACATCAGCAGAGGATTTCAACAGCCTCTGTTGCTTGACCCAGCCTTGCAACATGATGGCAGAGGACACTTGCCATTTTGTCCAAATACAATCAGGCATAAAAATATGTTGGGTATGACTTTTTTGTACCCTTAGTGAGCTTTCAGTCCAGTAAATAAAAAATCCTACTGCTAGCAGTGCTTTGGGAATTTAAACACAATTCTTTTCTAAACTTTAGTGAATTTGAACTGACCCTATGATTGGTTTTTTTCAGGAGCAGATTTGCTCCATGCTAACAGATTTCCTCATGTCCAAAAGCACAGCAGCATTCAGCAGATGTATTCCTTCAATGCTATTGTTCTTTTTATCTGTATTGCTTTTGTGACCTTGAAGTTTCAGGAAGGCAGAGAAGGCTGACCAATAGAGAGCCCTGTAAGGGAGAGGACATAAGGGAGAAGTGATCTGGTTTGGGCTTGTATCCAATTATTACAATACATTTCTAGACTATTTTTTACTGAGGAAGTAAACACTGCTGTGTAAAGGTTAGATATAGACCCACCCATTCCTGGAAGTTATGTACAGTTTGTCCTGAGTGACATCAGTGATGGATCTGTTTTGTGTGTATGTACAATTCTGTGACTAATTACAGTATCATTTTGTGCCAAAGCTTATTAAAAAATGTCGTAGGTTGTTTCAAGAAATTCTTGTTTTATACTGAGCATTTGGATCCATACCAAATTTTTTAACAAACTGTTAAAGTTTATTATCTCTTGGACCACAGCACTGATTTAATCCCTGGGATAGAGTCTTAAAGTCATCATTAACCAATATTCTCCAAAAGAAATTGCCAACTCCAGAACTTTTTCAGTATGCATTTTTCAAGGGCCTTTTTTTTTTAGGTATTGGTGAATTTTTATGTTACCTGCTTTGTGCCCTGAGTGGTGCAGTAGCAAAAGACAAATCAAGATAAATCTCCACTGTAATCCTTGGTAACCTATAAGGAAAATAATATAAAGTAGTAGAGATGATCTTGTCTGTGAGATGGTCAGATCCAGATTTATAGGTGCATCACCCCCTCTGTGTTTGTACCCCAGCGTGGTAGGGACAGAGTAGTTCTCCTGATCAAGGTGTGAACGATGTATGGTATTAACAGTAGGACATTTTATCTGGTTACTGGGCTTGTATTTTAAGAACAATACAAGAATCCTTGAGTGAATTTCCAAGAAACCTACCAAAACTGTACAAGGATGGGAAAACAAACATTACAACAATACCTAATGATGGGCTTATGGTTTTTTAATCAAGAAAAGATTGAATGGTGATCACTGGACATGTACACATAGGTCTGCTGCATGATCTTCAGTATTATACATAATAATAAGCACTGTAATTGGAAATCAAACTTTTAATATCATATCTCAGACATTTTGAAGAGTAGTTAAAAGAACTAAGAGTAGTTAAAGCATTTCACAAATGCATCTTTAGGAGATACTTTGATAGAGCTTCTGCCTTGTCTCTGCAATGGTCTTGCCTGAGGAATTCTATTGGTTTCCTTTGTTATTAAAGCTCTGAAGACCCATTATGGCTGGAGCATTTGTTAAGAAGTCTCTACAAGCATGGCACTATGGCAGCTGCAATGAAATGCACTTTCTTTTTCACACAGGCTAAACCAAGATGATAATAGGGATGAAGCTGTTTTGTTTAGATTATTCTTCTCATGCCTCTCCCATAACTTTGACTTCATACAAGGAAACACTTTTAATGTTTTGGATCTGACTATCTTGCCTTTCTGTTGAGAAAGATAAAATCATCTGTTGTGGTCAGTGTTGTGACTGAGTTGCCTAATTGTTTTTGTTGTGCTTCCAGAGGAACATTTAAGGTGTACAGATCCTATACGTGACTGAATGCAATTTTCTTTCCTAAGTTTCTTCCTGTAAATCCCACTCAGTGAACCTCCTATTAAAACAGAATTAGCACAGCAATCAAGTTGTTGAGCACCTTCATCGAGCTGAAGAGTCAAATATAGGCCAATTCTTTCTCTATGCTCTCTGCTTCAAAAAACAGCAGTTGCTTCCAGCTTGCAGCATGCACTAAATTTTCAAGACCTTTCTTTCAGCTAGTTTTGCCAAAACTTTGAATTGGGGAAGGAATTTGAATGGGATGGATCAAAAAAGGCATTAAACATGGGAAAATATACTGAACAGTATAGCAATGATGTAGAGGAAAAAAATCTGATTACATCTCCATTGATATTTGACCACTTCTAAGAAAAAAAACAGAGTTGCTATCAGCCATGGTCTCCTTGAAACTCTTAATAATAAACAATATATTCAGGAACCTTTTCTGACTAGGTATTATTCTCCTTCTTTGGAAAACAGTAAGTAATTCTGTAAGCTATTCTGAATCATTTTCTCTCTAATTCATCTTTGTTTCTAAGAGAGACAAGCAGTTCCTTGGACTGTTTATTAACCTGTAGAAGTCAAGAAAAATGCTACTTAATTTCAGAGAAAAGTTTATTATGCTCTGCTAGTATAAGCTACTGTGGACTTGATATATGTGGAAGGGCAAACCAGATGTTTGGTTTTAAAAAACAGAATTCAGATTCCATTTACCTCCTTTTCTTTTCTCTCAGGTGGAAAGACATGACATGAATACCCTGAGTTTACCACTTAACATCCGCCGTGGAGGTTCTGATACCAACCTGAACTTTGATGTACCAGATGGAGTCCTGGAATTTCACAAAGTCAAACTCAATGCAGATAGCTTGAAACAGAAAATCCTCAAGGTTACAGAGCAAATCAAGGTTGAACAAACAGCTCGAGATGGAAACGTGGCTGAGTATTTGAAACTGGTAAACAGTGCAGACAAGCAACAGGCTGGGCGCATTAAACAAGTCTTTGAGAAAAAGAACCAGAAATCTGCCCACTCCATTGCCCAGCTGCAGAAGAAATTGGAACAGTATCACAAAAAGCTCAAGGATATTGAACAAAATGGATCTTCCAAAGCTACCAAGGATACTTCCAAAGATAACTTGAAAGATGTTCAACATGGAAAGTCTCGTAGCAGTGGGCACGGAACAGAAAGCAGCAAGTCGGGTGTGCCGGGTGTATCTTTGACACCACCTGTCTTTGTTTTCAGCAAGTCTAGAGAGTTTGCCAACCTGATCCGAAACAAATTTGGTAGTGCAGACAACATTGCTCATCTCAAAAATACCCTGGATGAATTTCGGCCAGAAACGAGTTCTAGAACCTATGGGGGCAGTGCCACCATTGTTGCCAAACCAAAATATGTTAGTGATGATGAATGCTCAAGTGGGACCTCTGGATCAGCGGATAGCAATGGGAATACTTCCTTTAGTCCTGCTGTGGCAAGTACCCTGGACAGCCAAGGAAAGCTTTCCATGATTTTGGAGGAACTAAGGGAAATCAAGGAGACACAGTCCCAATTAGCTGATGATATCGAGAATTTAAAAACCCAATTTAAAAGAGACTATGGCTTTATTTCCCAGATGCTACAAGAAGAAAGATATAGGTATTTTTTTTTTAACTGTTCTCTTGAAATGACTTTTGCACAAGTATAGAAACTATTTGGAAAATGTGTGTGTGAGAGAGAGAAATTTCAGAAGCAAGTGAAAAAAATAATTCCAATTAATATCTGGTACCAACATGTTTAATTCCTTCCAGCAACTGAAAATACACGTAGAATATTTATATTTCCTATCAAATGGTGTAGTGTCCTTTGCCTTTTGTCAAAGGCTGATCAGAAAACTCTCTCCTCTGTCATAGTTTTTATGTGAATTATGTGAGTACTGTGTATAGGAGATGCCAATGGTTTTGTAGCTGGTGGGAGGATTCTCATCTAATGTGACTCAAAAAAGTTAATCAGTCTGTGGTATAGCAGAAGTGACAGACAGCTGATAAGTATACCCTTGACTTCTGAGTACCTTGGCTGAATACTTCTCACACATGTTGCTATCTTGTGGATGCAGTGTCAGCCTGTACCCTGGTGTAGCATAGAGCTGGGAGCTGTAGTTTTATGTGCTGTAGCACAACTTTGTCTTGCATTTGTTACTTGACAATTAATTCCTTTATCATCCTCTGTGAGAAGTGGATGGTATGTTCCATAGAGTGCTTTCACCTGCTGTACCTATATCCCATTTTTCCTCTGGCTTGTTAAAGTGACAGTCAATTCTTGAAGTCTTTACTACACCAGTGGGCAAAATCTTGGTATGAAGGGCAATATTTCATATTTCCCTTGCTTATAGTTCTCGAAATGCAACGAAAGGCTTGATACCTTGTGGTAATATAATAGGGAGGAAAGAACAATGAAAGTGGCCTACTGAACTCATGACTTGGTTTCAGGAGAAGGCAGAGTGACCTTTTCTGACAGCTCTCTGCCAATAAAATCTCAAGCCTCCTGCTACCCATTTCTAGACAATTTTGCCTCCATCATTTTTGTGCTGACTGCAGTGTTTGCCTGTTTGTATGTTAAATCAAGTGACAAACTCACAAAAAAATTTCTAGTTTGCTGGTGATTTGATTGAACTGCTTTACCATGTAGAAGCATGCCAGAACAGACTGTACATAAATGGCAGAACCCTGCAGTTGTGTATGAGAGAGAACATATTTTTCCTGTCATTACTGTTGAGCTATTAACTGGCTCAAACTTACTTACGAAACCATATCTTCTGGGCTAAATGAAGACTGAAAAATAAGAGTTGGATATCCTTAGGCACTGTTTATATTTCATCTAATTTGCCAATGATGTACAAATATTTGCTTTTTAGCACCTACTGCCAGCAAGAAGGACTCAAAAAAGGCTTTCAGATTACTGAATAAATGTTTGTGGAAGGTTTACAAAGTTTTTACTGATTTCTATATGTGCTTTGTAATGCCAGTCAGATGAATTCATCATATACTGAGAAATTACCTTTTAAAATGTGCAATTGTTTTCATGATTTGGCATTACTTGAATAGAAGGCACTAAATTTAGACCTCTTTTCCTAATAAGATACGAAAGACTGGAAGACCAGTTAAATGACCTCACTGACCTTCATCAACATGAGACAGCAAACTTGAAACAAGAGCTAGCCAGCATAGAGGAGAAGGTGGCGTATCAGGCCTACGAGCGATCACGAGATGTCCAGGTACTTATATTCCTTATCATAATCTTCTTACGTTTTGTAGAAGTCTTGTACCATGAAACACTCACATTTTTCTACATCTTTTAAAATAAGGAATATGAAGAAAGATTTAAGCCCATGTTTACTCTGTTTTAAGGTGAAAACCCAGCACATGGAATCAATGACAGTCTCCATTTCTTTCTCTGGATTCAGGATTTTTTTCTGCTGGAACTGATGCTATAGCCTAGGCAGACTTGTGGTTGAAGAATGGCCTGTTTTAATTTCTTTCACAGAGGAGGAAGGAATTGAGTTTCGTTGTATTGTGTGACCTAACACTCCTGACAATGTCCTGACACAAACTTCTTGCTCAGACTTTCTCCAATATGTAGTTGCATCGCTGGCAAGGTCTATTATAAATTCAGTTTAGGGTGAAAACTAAGAGAGCCGATTTATAGACTTGTAGATTTTCCAGTTATAATTAAAGAGTTTAAAGCCATGGTCACAACAATCTCTATAATCAAAGCTGTAGGGTGTCTTCACCTTAGTGATCAGCTGTAGTCATGTCTGACTTAAATCAAAAGCTAATAATAATGTCTACAAGTATGTCCTGATAGCATGTAGTTACCTATGTACTTGAATATTTATATACAATACAAGCACTTACATAATGCATAATATTTCTACTAAAAGTCTGAGGAAGTGGTGAAAAAGGGTGACAACACAGTTATGTCTTACCTATTCATGAACAACTGAGGAATGCTCAAAGACTGTCTTCATATTGGCACAGATGGTAAAAGAACCTAAAACCCGACCTGTATAAACCTGTGCTCACATTTCTAAACAGAGAGAGTGTGGGTAGTAGGATGATCACAGTTTCCTGAGTTAGGAAGCTCCTGGGAACAGAGTGGGAAAGGGATGGTACTGAATCTAAGCATATCATAGGTTTCGTTGTAGGTTTAAACAAGAGAGGTCTCTCACAGATTTAAAGAGGGCTCTTTTCTGTGAAGGCATCTTGAGAATGTAAAAACATAATGAAACTTGAGTTATCCAGCAGAAGGGCAGTGAAATATTTCCTAACTCATTAGCAGAATCCTGGAGGGGTGTCAGAGACTCCTAATTGAAGTGCTATGTTGATGCAACCTTGTTTCTTTTATCTCTGTACAGTTGGGCCCGTTTAAACCTATCTCTTTGGGGCTTTGGAAAATTAGCTAAAATAGAGTAAAAGGATTTAAGCTCTGGATATTTTGAGTGACGGCCTAACTCAGTCGCTAAAGGATGTTTAAATACTTGTTCAGCCTCTCAATGTAGAGCTGCATGTATCAGACTTTTGCAGCTGCACTTTCTCTAAAGCAGCACAAGACAATTTGAGGATAACTTACAGTCAGTATGGAAGAAAGACCAGGGAAGTTCATTAGTGTCTAGTGAAGAACATGCCTGAACCATAACAGATTTTGTGCCACCCATTAAGAGCTGTCTTCTATATTGTAACTAATTCCTAGAGCAGTGAAAGGAGGCGGTCTTGTGTAATTCACGGTGCCACACTTTCTGTGATAACCTTGGTGCCTGGCCAGTCCTTGGTAAGCCAGTTCAACTTGCTGAAACAATGAAGAACTGACCCAGCAAGGGAAAGCTGGTAACTCTCTGGGTGTTCATACACAGAAGTTTGGTTTGAAACAGCTTACTGTGTGATCAGGTGAACAACCTTGCTACTGCAAGGAAAATATCTGGAGTTTGGAATGGAGAAGAAAGTAGGGATGCTGGAGTGTTGGTTTTCTTTGTCACACAGTGGTAAAAGATTATGTCAAGTTGATCAATCTCATGAAATTACAGCTTTGCACCATGCTATGCAATGGTCCCCAAATCCCAACTCCAGCAAAAAGCTGGCATTTTGGCAAATAAGTGAAACAGTTGGAAGTCTTCTATGTTTTGCTTTGGGAGGACTTAAGCAGGGGGGTAGTGTCTTTAGGAAGCATTTTACTCTAAGACCACTTTTAGTCTATTCTCAAGCAGAAGAGAAAGGTCTGCTTTCTTCAGAACAAATTGTGAAGCAGAACAGATCATGTGAGAGAGAATCCTATAAAAGCATCTCCACAGTTGTTCCACTGTCTTCACAGTGACAGAGGGAGAAGGCCAGATCTCACAAAGGACTCAAGCCCAACATTGTAGGATGGGTAACTTTGAGAGCAAAACTAATGTAGACCATAGAGGCAGTGTAAACCAAGTGCTACATGTTGAAAAGTAGATTTAATTACCAGCACAGCAACCCCACCCTAATGTTTTCTATAGAATATACAAAGAAACTAATTTTCTTAATGTTTTGATGCAGTGAGAGTTGCTGTGGCAACAGCTTTACTAGTACTTTATATCAACAGTATATATAGGAAACAACTGCCACGAACATTAAAGTTACAATATTTTTTCCTGAGCATGAAAAAAGAACAAACCTACATTTTGAACAGTGTTGTTAGACTTGATTATGCCTCATTCAGACATATATGTGCATTTATTTTTTTAAAAAGTTGGTGGTTCATTGACATTTTAGTCTATAATAAATTGCACTTCTAATCTAGCTGATGGATGGCTCTGCAGCTAAAATGTGAAGAAACATTGAAGGGAAATATGGCTGCCCTAATTCTTGTTTTCTGTCTCCAGGAAGCCTTGGAATCATGCCAGACCCGAGTTTCCAAACTGGAGCTCCATCAACAAGAACAGCAAGCACAGCAGTCTGAAACAGTTAATGCCAAAGTGCTCCTGGGGAAGTGCATAAATGTTATCCTGGCCTTCATGACTGTCATCTTAGTGTGTGTTTCTACTATTGCAAAGTTCATTGCTCCTATGATGAAAAGCCGTTTTCATATCATCTGCACTTTTTTTGCAGTGACGCTGCTGGCAATATTTTGTAAAAACTGGGATCATATCATTTGTGCTATAGAAAGGATGATTATACCAAGATGAAGCTGTTGGACTGGCTGTTTATTTATTTTATTTTTTTATTTCTTATTTTTCCCCCTCTTTCTTCCCCTCCCTGTTTTTTAAGCACTGTGTGTATACCAATTCTGGTGTAAATATATAAAGTATACTTGTTGGCAGTCAGTTGCCTGTTAAATCTGATTTTGTCTAACTGGCTGTATCTGTGATGAACTGCTCACTTAAGTCAGTCTTCTGCCTTAATCCAAAAGGTTTTCCACTTTCCAAACCCCTACCCACGAAAGATGGTATGATTATCTGGGAGGGATCCCAGCAACTACGAGTGTCAGGTGTGCTTTTTACTAGGCCGAAGTGCAAAGATTGTGATCAGGAGGGAGTGCCATAATGTTTATCAGCTCTATTAGACTGATAGTTAATTTTCTTTCTGAATCCAACCAGAGTGATAAGCCAAACTATGCAGTCATGTGTATTGATAGTTCTAGATTCTAAATTAGTGGGTATCATTACATGGGATTTTGAGTTTTCAAGACTAACAAAACTTGATGTTTCTGCTAGTAACTTTTTGCACAGAGTTTATTGTTTGCAAATGAGACCAGTGATAACTATTGACCACAGTTAGTAGTTCTGCAGTTAGTTGTTCTGTCCCAGCACTGTTCCTTATCACATTTGGGAAATACATATGGCATAAGACTTCCAAAGATTGACTGAATTGAATTATAAGATCCCGAGGCAACTTTGTAAAGGAGTAAAGAAGCAAGTAACTGGTAAGTAAGTTGTCATCCACACCAAAGCACTCACTTGTTCAAGGCCTGCAACCTGCAAGGGGAAAGAAGTACACAGAAAGGCAACATTGAGGTTAGCCTCTGTTAGCACTGAATTATTGGGGTGTTGTAAGTGAATGCAAAGCATACAGGTGGTGGGACCCTGGGTACAGTGGATTTCTTACTTCTGTCAGATTAAAGAATGTGGCAGAAGTATGAGGGAACAGCTTCTTAAGAGGAGCAGGAAGTTTAACTTCTGTAAATATAAGAACTGTAGACTGTCTCATCAGACATTCCTGAAGATAATGTATTAACATGCAGTACCACTAGTAGGAGACAGGGTTGGGTTTGTTTTCCCACTGGAATATATTTTACTTGATTTAAGAACTGCAAAATATTTCCCTGAAATCAGCTTGGCTTTCAGCCATGATGTAAAGCAAGATCTTTATTAAAAATAAACAAACAAACAAAAAACACCACAAAATAAACCATCACAACCAGAATTCTTCTCCATTCTCCATTAAGTAAAAAAATGAACAGTGTTTCCAATTATTTGATGTTCAGTGTTAGTAACTGTGAAAATAATTGTCATGACGTATTTTCTTTTCAGTTGCAGTATTTTTTGTGCTGGTATTATGGGAGGGAGGGCATAGTTTGATGTGTATATTTCTTTTTAACCAAGTGCAATAGTTGGTGAAGACCTTATTCTGAGGAAAGGGAGTGGGTGAGGGGAAGACAGGGAAGAACTTTGACATTTTACCACAGTCAGATAAACAGTGAATTGTTACTATTTGTGGCTTCAGGAACTGAAGAAAGGACACAATTAACTTAATAAGTAATGATATAACTCAGCATTTAGAAAACGCAATTAAAATACTTACAAATATTTAAAGAATTCTTTATATATGCTAAGTCTTTGAACTGAGAATCAGGAAGGATTGTGCTGGAAATGGATCAGATCAGACACAGCCATGTTATCCTAACCCAGCCTTACCTCATCTCAAGAGGGAAGTGGAATGGAAACCAAAAACCAACAAACAGGAGCCCAAACAAGACTAACAACTGGTTCCGATCCTAAGAATGCTGTGACTCTTCATGGTGTTTTCTTGCTGTCTTTATTATCTCCATTCTTCTCTTCAGCTTGCACAGCCAGCTTATGCATTGGCCTCTTGAGAAAATAGTTTAGCATTTTGTTAAATGGGTTAAGAAGGGTAGATGTGCAAGAAAGGAGTGCCATGTGTTTACATAAGAAAAACTCCTTTGCCTGTTGCATGATTATAGATGTATATAATCCTCCCAGTGCTATTTCATGTAGTTGAAATGTTACATCAGGTAGCCTCAAGGACAGGGAGGGAAAATGTCAGTATTTTTCTTATGACAAAGTAATTATTGGTGTGGTACAGCCTGGGATTGTGAAAGCTTCTGCTCCAAGGGCAAATCATTACTATTCTGGAAGATGGCCTCAGTGTAAAATGAGGGTAGAATCTAAAATCGATGGCTCTACAAAAGATTGCTCACTGTCGTGATAGAATCTGACTGGACCTAAATTCTAAATTGGAAACAGGAAGGTCTTGCATTTCCATATTGGCTTTACACCTGGCAGGGGACACAGTTAGTTATGTAAATTAAAACAACCTAATTGGTAAATGAGTGCATCGCTTCTCTGGGTTATTTTCTCTGCTAGGTTTAAATCACGGAAGGATGTGACATACAACAAGAAAATAATAAAAAATGTAAAGTGAGGGGCAAAAACCTGCTTTTGAGTGAAACTCTTGTAGTTTTGCACAGAGACTGCAGTGCCAGGAGCTCTGCCATGTGGAAGGCCTCCCAAGGAGGGAGGTCTCCCATCCTGCCTTTGCCCTCCCATTTCCTATCTTGTGCTAGCACTGGTATATGGTGAAGTCTTCCATATACCATGCCAGATCACTAGACTGGAAGAAAAACCTGGTGAAAGAGGTGGATGATTCTCCACATCTGGAGACTTAGAGGGCTGGTAAAAAGGTGTCTCATGAGTATGAAGCTGGGATTTTAAGGGAGATGAGCCTTTATCTTCTTGTTGCAGTGAGTCATTAGCTGTCCTTAAAACTGGGCTCCAAGCAGACTTTCTGCAGATTGTTGGGGCAGCTGCAGTGTAGAAAAGTTCTCCCTACCTTTTTCCTGCAGGGAACAGATACAAACGGCCCATGTGGTGGGACAGGCTAGCCAGCTGTGTCTATACTTGGGATCAAGACAAGGCTGGTGCCTGAGCTAGCCAGGGCTGATGCCTCTGCCATTAGCTTCAGTATGGGCATCACTTCCCCCCTTTAGGCTGGGATTATGTATTTTACATATTACTGTGTGTATCTGGCCTGCAGTCTGAGCTCTGTTTCCTGTGAAAGCATGCCTAAACCAACCCAAAGAATTGCAGTTCTCCTAATGAGAACTCTGTTCAGCTTCTCAATCAATTAACCGTGTTCTGTCAGGATACCATTTGCTTTTATATTCTCATACAACGCATCATATACATTCTTAGGATACTTCTTACACCTACTCATCATGAGCCTCTAAAACACTCCCACTTAACAAAAGGTTGCCAGACAGTGTCTTTTCTGCTTGGTGCTGCCTGCTAGACAAGTATTTCCCTTCACTTTGGTAGTAGTTCTCTGATGGAAAAGCCCTTCAATAAGTTGTTAATACCTGTTCTATAGGCTTTTGGCAGCTTTTGCTTGGAGGTTTTTGGAGATTCGGTTTCTTGTGAAAGTTTGCACAATTTTCCTGATTTCTCCTATTTCAGCATTTACAACTAAACGAGGTTTCCTCTAAAAATTGTCTAAGGGATCCCTCTGCTAGCTTCAACTATAACTCCATTATTGTTGAAAGCCTAATTAGTGATTGGCAGGACTGATCAAGACCCAGTTCAAATTCCATCTTCTTTCTGCTTTACACTATATGCATTCATGCAACTTCTCATTTTATTCCACTCCTGTTATGTCTGTTTGCTCTAAATTCTTAGAGGCACTAAAAAATTTCACTTCATTTTTGTTTAACATCAAAATGTTTGTGTTATGCTGTGCCTCTGCTGCAGGACATCTATCAGTATAGATCTGATGTCTGCACTCCAGGAAGGATATGTAAAAGCCAATGGTTTTCTTTGAACAAGTCATGACTGCTTGTTTGGGGAATAGCAATGCAAAAGGTGAAGACAATTTGCTGTAGGAAAGATACATGATCCACTTACCAGAAGTTGAAGCTAGATAAATCCAGTGTAAGCATAAGGTTCAGTTTTGCAATCATAAGGGTTGCCAGCTAATTATTAGCTACTGAATGATATAATAAACGAGGACTCCAACATTTGAATTAGTTCAGGCTTATGTTTGATACAAAGTTAATTGCATAATAACATCTAGTGCTTTCCAAAATCAAAATCCTTGAACAAGAAATTCAGAAAAGAAACAAGAAGACACAGAAGCTTGTAGTTTATTTAGAAGGTACGAAAGAAGATTTTCTTGTTTGGTTGTTTTTGATTTGGGAAACCCTTTCCACTGTGATAGAGACATTTTACTGCTGGATTCAATGATACAACAGAAGATAAACACAGATTAATGTAATTAAACATTTTAATTTCAATAGCAGAATTTAATCCTTTCTGAAAGTCCATCTAGGACTAGCAATCAGGCAAATTTTTTCTCCACTATTTTTAATTAACCAAATATACATCTGCTTTCTTCATTCACCATCATGCCAGAACATGGCCTTTAAGCACAGGAGATTATAAAGGGCTTGTTTTCAGATAAAGTTGGAATGATCTCTCTGATGCTAACTCTGCACAAAGTATCAGACAATTTTACATTGCAACAGTGAAAGACTAAGAAAAGTTTTATTTTAGTCAATGAAATTGCTTATTTTCCCTGAAAAAGCCAACTGAGATAATGCTGTATATAAGGACTGCATGAGGCCAAGTCAAACTGTCTTGTATGGTTGATTTCTTGTATGTTTAGCATATTAATTTGTACTGTTGGAAAGTTTTGCACAAAGCCACCTTTCCTTTTTACCCAGGGAACCTGGGTCTGGTAGTATCAAGGTGTACCAAAAATTACCTGCTTTTATTGACTAAAGTTTATAGTCTTGGTGTGTGACCTGCAATGTTTCTCATACTATTTCCATTTTGTGCAGCACTGTGGAAAGATTCAACTATGAAAATGTAATTTTTGTATATTTGGTTGTGTAGTCATGACTGCCTCTAAGGTGCCATTAACATTTTTTAAAATAAAAATATTTACATTTATTTGCTGATGAATATTGTCTCCTAAACTTTGTCTGATCACTCAAACCCCTATCAGTTTTCGTTTCTCAGTAACAAATTATTCAATTGACAGTGATAAAGTTAACCCATTGAGCCCAAGGCCCAGTTTTAATATACTGACAAATCTGAGCATTCTGCTCTGCTGCAATTTTGACCAAAACCCGTTGAGTTTCACTTACAATTGTGACATGGCAAAACTACAAATATCAAACTAGGTATCATCATTGCTTTTATGCATAGTTTGTGTGAAATTTGTTGTGTAAATGCCGTGCTATTGTGCCAAGCAGCTGGACTCACTTGGGATTTTTCTTTTTTTTTCAACTTAGAATTAGAAACTTTAAAAGTATTTTTATGTTACTGTCAGAAACCTTGGTCACATGTGCCAAAAAACCCCCATAGCTGGCATAAAGCCAAGTGTTTGCATTTATTATTCATAAAGCAGAGGTCTTGTCAGCTGGCACTGGCAGCCATTGGCAATGATGTTATTTTTATTCCAAGAATAGAGCAGAAACAGTGCCATAACAGATTGCTTTGCAATCACACTGTACTTCCTATTTTCTCCTATTTGACAAAATGGTACGGGGGCTGCTGTGTCACCTGAAGACTTTCCAAGGTCTTGTCATGCTGATTTTCACATAGGTTCTTGGAACTTATTCTGTAGTAAGGCTAACTCCATTCACAAACAGCAGCTTCTCTCACAACCACTAATGATTTTGCCCATTTCTCGCATGGGCTGAATAACCCCTGCTAATCAGGCAAACCAGACATTAAAAAAATGCACTTCACTCATCATCAGTTTTCTCAGCTGCTCAAAATGCTGGCTTTGGAGAGTGCATAGCACACCCTGGTAACTGCTTTAACACCCAAAATTAGAAATGCAGAGAACAAAATACAGCAGTTCTGTTTAACAGCACAGAAAGAGAAGTGTCACTTGTTGCTAAGAAGTGGCCACTATGCAGTGTTAGTAATCACTGGATGAAAAATAACCCTTAACAGCAGCATACTGTGAAAATACTTCATGTTGGTGCCCCAAATATCTCCAAGAACCAAAGCTGTGTGACTGTGCCAGAAACCAGCTGAAGGCACCCAAGACTTCATCTGCTGTTATGGTGCAACTGATTTTGCAGCACCCAGAACTGCTCTGAACTAGCTGGTTGAGGCAGTGCTAGCAGAGCAGTTTATAAACTTAGTGATAAATTCTTCCTGAATGTGTGTGCTTATTTCTCTGCTTGTGCTTCTTCAGAAGGTGCAGCAATCAAACGGCAGGTTCTGCCTCCCCTGGCAACTAGCACTGCACTGATGTAATTGAAAGGAGAAATTTCCACACTGTATCCTCCTCAATTCCTGCTTGGACTATGACTTAGGTGACAACTCATTAGTTTTGTGAAGTTGCCTAGTGGATCAATGCTATGTCACCTTTTATGTGACATACCTACCAGATTCAGACAGAAGCAAAGTGGAGAGGCTGAACTACTGGACAGGCTGGTGCTAGTCTGCAGGACTCCATCCCCTGTCCACTTTTCTTCAATCTAATGAACAACTTGGATGCAGGATGCAGAGGAATACTAAATAAGTTGGCCAATTACACTAAACTGGGAGGAGCTGTCAACTCCTTCGAGAGCAGAGAGGTCCTGCAGAGAGATCACAACAAATTAGAGATAGGCAGTCACCAACCAAATGAAGCTTAACAAGGGAAAAGTGCCAGATTGTGCACCTGGGACAGGGCAATCCTGGTTGTGTGTGTAGAATGGGGAATGAGAGGCAGCGCTGTGGAAAGGGACCTGGAGCTCCTGGTTGATGGCAAGTTGACCATGAGCCAGCAGTGCCCTGGCAGCCAGGAGGCACCAGACAACCTGGGGTGTCCCGGGGGCATCAGGCACAGCATCAGCAGCCAGGCAAGGGAGGGGATTGTCCCCTCTGCTCTGCACTGGGGCAGCCTCATCTTGACTGCTGGGGGCAAACTTGGGTAACACAACATAAAACAGACATTCAACTGTTAAAGTGCATCCAAAGAAGGGCCACTAGGATGGTGAAGGGGCTGGAAGAGCAACCTTACAAGGATTGGCTGAGGACACTTGGTGTGTTCACCCTGTAGGAGACTGAGGAGTGACCTCATCACAGTCTGCAGCTTCCTTGTGAGGGGAAGTGGAGGGGCAGACACTGATCTCTTCACTCTCATGACCAGCGAAGGGACTTGAGGAAATGGCATGAAACTGAGTCAGGGCAGGTTTACGTTGGATATCAGGAAAACATTTTTTACTCAGAGGGTGGCTGGGGACTGGAAGGGGTTCTTCAGGGAAGTGGTCACAGCACCAAGCCTGGCAGAGCTCAAGAAGGGTTTGGAAAATGCTCTCAGACACATGGTGTGACTCTTAGGATGACCTGTGCAGGCCAGGAGCAGGACTCAATGATCTGATGAGTGTCCTTCAAGTCAGCATATTCTATGATTCTGTGATAACCTACACCTTAAGACAAGCTTGAAGCTGGCCAATGCTGAGCTCCTGAAAGAAGCACACACATGCTTTTGACAGAAACTTTAGGAATTGAGCTTGCATTTGATGTAGTCATGATCCCTTCAGCTGCTGAGTGTGTGGCTCTATCCACCTGTGTGTGTAAATTTGGAAAAAATTTTTAGTTATTGTGGCTAGAATGCAATCAATCTAATGGAAATGGAAGCACAGTCAGGACTGAAGCCTGTAATACATGATAACAATATACATGGGGAAAAAGCCCTTGTAGCCTAAAAAATTCCCTTCATATTTTTCTGTTGAATACCATTTTAATGCGTTGGTACTGGTCAGGAGAACATCCTTTTTCTCTGTAGTCATAGACACTTTGAGTAAAGACAGAAGAACAGCATGACATACTGAACATCCAGGCTGAACAGAAAAGAATGCCTGTGTGGTCAGCAGTTCCATACAACTCATCTGTCTGAGTAATAGCTTAATAAACTGCCTTAGGTTTTATATCCACTGATGTCCTCTATGCTAAAAATTGTACTCTGTCCCTACTGAGCTTAATGGTAGAAACCCCTCTGAGTTAAACTGGGCAAGACTTATCATAGCACTATAGCACTTAAAAGCAATTCTGTCTTTTGACTTTGTAATGCCAAAAATACTAATTTTCTCATACAATCTACCCGCCACAATGCATAGTTTTAAGTCTCTACCACAAATAGCACACTACTTAGTCACAGACATCTCTGCCACAATTGTATAGGATGGTAAAACTATTTGGATGCTTTCTGGATCTGCTGACTCAGATGCTGAACAGAGCTTGTACTCCCAACACTAATTCCCCACTTGGCCTCTTATCTTGCCAGGCTGGATTCAGGTCAAGGTGACACAGACTAAGCATGGATTAAACTACAGGTATGACCAGCAGCATGTGTACATAACAACAAAACCTTCTCTAAAGATATGCCACTGGGCTATAAGAGCTTGAGGATTTATCTAATCTAGCAACTATTTTCAGCTTGCTCAACTAAGGCAACAAGGAAGTCTAAATGAGCTTTCAAACCCCAGACTTTTTCTGACCATACTTTCTCAGTATACCCCTCCAAAGACTGTATCTGCAAAATGCATTGAAATATTTTCCTGGGCTTCTCTACATATTTTACAGCTCTTTATACATTGCTTTCTTTGTGTGAGGATGAACCTTGCTGTTTAGTGAAATGTTGATCTACCCAGAACAAATATAATAGACATTTAAGGAGTCACAAACAATCTCTAATACTGTTGATGAAAAACTGTTAGATCTCTAAATGAAATCTCTTTACTTTTACTCAGGCCACAGTGAACTTCAAGTTTCCCTTAAAGAGATTTTACTTCTTTTTTTTCTCTCTTTTAATAAACTACTGAGATCTGTAGCTGCATAAATTTCTATTTTTACCAAAAAACCCTGCCTGTGTTGTGGGAGATGTTTCAAAAAGGGGAGTTTGCCACTGTTGGAATAATCCTTTTTTAATATAAAGGTGTTATACATGTTTCCTTTACATAAGAAGTTAGAAGAGAAATCAAACAAACCAACCCCAGTATGTGACTCTCCTCTCTCCCCAACAGGATGGCTTCATATTTACTTCTCCCTCATTTCCCCCCCTTATTTGTTTAGTAATATTTAAAGTCCTAATCTTCTAGCTGTTTCTGCCTCTTGCTATCCAGATCCATCTCTTGATTGACCCTCTTTTCTCTCTTTGCTGTAGGCATTAGCCCCACTTCTACTCCTGTAAGCTCTGCTTTCTATTCCTCTTTCCTTCAGCCACTTCCTTCTTGTGCCCTTGAACTCCATCTCAATTCTTGCTTTTTCTCTCTTTCCTGGTACTCTGCAAGATTCCCATCTGAGTCATTACAGCAGCTTTCCTTATAACCCAGCAGAGGCAGGATGGTCACTGTGACGAAGACGAGTGCCATTACCACCCACACTTCAGAACCACTGGCCATCAGGGAGCACCTGGAATTATCTGACTCAGCGGGTCTCGGAAGGAAACAGGCACCCTTCTCTGATCAATGTGAAAAACATGGAGGCAAAAATAAAGTAACACAATTTCCACCATCTTGAGTCATCCTCTTAGAAAAAGATTACACACTGGAAATACTTACACAATAATTATTCCCTAAATTAGCTGGCAAGAGACACCCAGTCCTGTCTATTGATTTTAGTTACCTAAGTAATTTTAGATTTTGTAGGTTTTTTGCTATGTCCCCTGCAGTGCTCACACTGAGTGATCTAGATTCTTGGTGCCACGTAAATGAATTGTTTTCCAGTAGATTATAGCTATGTAATCCTGCTATGAACAGACACTAATAGAACCAAAGAAAGAATCTGTGCCATTCTACCATTCCTGTCAATGCAGCTGTAAAAATGAGAAAGTGCAACTTCATAACACTTTCTGGAAAGATTTCTTGGCAGTGTAAAACTGTTTAGATCCATGGCTTTTAAAATTCATATTTTTCGTCAAAATTTGTTTTGAATAAAAATTAATTTTTAATTCATTG